CTGCTTCTCCCTCTCCCACTCCCCCTGCTTGTGTTCCCTCTTTCGCTGTGTCTCTCTCTCTGTCAAATAAATAAATAAAATCTTTAAAAAAAAAATGATTTAACTTATATTGGTATGTTCAGGATTGTATTTCATTGCAGTCTCATAATATATACAAGTTTAGATTTTTTTCCCATTACCAACTGATGCATGCTGTTTAATTAGAAAAAAATTTGAAACACCTTTGAAATGAATGTGGTATTTTGTGGCTGAATGTAGATTAAAATCTACTTAACCTTCATAAAAAAAATCAATAAAAATGCTCTCCAGGGGCACCTGGGTAGCTCAGTTGGTTAAGCATCTGCCTTCAGCTCAGGTCATGATCCTGGAGTCCTGGGATGAGCCCCGCATCAGGCTCCCTGCTCTGCGGGGAGTCTGCTGCTCTCAAAAATGCTCTCCAGTTCCTGTATTTGATATTTTAAAGATCTAAATGATTTTATTAGTGAAGATTTTAGGGTATAAGCACTTTTTAATAAAAAGAACACATTTAAAAGTTGATAGGTTTTCCCCACCTCATTAACTGAAAAACCAAATTTGCATATAATCATTTCTCTTTTTAAAATTATTTTTGAAGTACTAGGAATACCTTGCTGTGTTTTGTAATAATTTTGATCATATAAATGTTACTTTTGGAGAACACTTTGAGATTAATTTTCAGAAATATTTCTATATTCCTCATTAATTAGTGCATTTTGCCATCACTTTTCCAGTCTTTAACAAATATGGTTTGTTATGGGGATAAATTAAACAATGTGACTAAAAATAAAAAAAGATCTAAAACTGTATGAGGATGAAAATTACCATTGTAGTTTGTGGTGTTGCGTTAATCAATGAAATTGATTGCCTGAGTCATGAGGATGTCTGTTATTTACAGAAAATGCTTCTGAGATTAATACGTGGAACATTCAGATTATTTCCCTTAAAGAGAAAATGTTTGAAGTATTATACATGTAGCTTTTTTTAAAAGACAGAATTGAAACACTATAATTTTCTCTTTACTATGACTTCTCCCTTTGTAATAATCTCATTTGTTCTTGCCACTTAAACTATAATTTTTGTGCAAATAAGCCCTAATTCTGTGTGAAGTTCTGCTCTTTTAAGCACTTAACACTCATTTCTCACAGCTTTTTGGACAGTTAGATCTACTCAATTTGTATGCAACTCTCCATCTTTTATGTTTCCTATCTTGATTAATGGTATAGGTATCTTCTGAGTGGCTCAGATTTAAAACTTCAAATTCTTACCTTTCCCTGTTTCCTAACTGTATAATCTGTAGCTTAAACCTCCAAAATGGCTTTGCTTTTCATTTTTCTACACTCATTGACACTGCCTAACTTACGCCGTCTTTTTCTTAACATTTTATATGCCACTGTATTATTGACAAAGCCCCCACTTCTCAACCTGGAATTTGTATTAGTTAAGTTACAGGTTTGGCTACCGTGACAACTTAAAAAATAATTGTGCCCCCCCGCATCTTTTTCTAGATTTATTTATTTATTTTTAGAGAGAGAACACAAGCGGGAGGGTTAGAGGGAGAAGGAGAAAGAATCCCAGGCGGGTTCCATGCTGAGCATGGAGCCAGATACAGGGCTTGATCTCAAGACCCCAAGATTACAACCCGAGCTAAAACCAACAGTGGGACTCTTAACCGACTGTGCCAACCAGGTGCTCCATGCCCCAACCCAGTTTTTTAATAAAAAATTTCCAAACCAAGTAAAAATATGAGCTGATCAGGTAGCTTTGCTGCAAAAAGTTGTCAGAGGCCCCCAAGCTCTTACTAACGTGTTACTGTGCCACCTCATCATGCAGCTCCATGTTGTGGACCAACATGGCTGCTTCACTTCCTGCCATTTTATGCCACATGCTTAAGTTAAAGGCTAAAATGTATCAAGGTAGGAAGCACAGAATCTTTGCAAGTGGTGGTAGGAGTAGAATTTTATTCTCTACCTTAATTTTTTTATTTTATTTATTTATTTTTTATTATTATGTTATGTTAATCACCATACATCATTAGTTTTTGATGTAGTGTTCCATGATTCATTGTTAGCATATAACACCCAGTGCTCCATGCTGAATGTGCCCTCTTTAATACCCATCACCAGGCTAACCCATCCTCCCACCCCCTCCCCCCTAGAACCCTCAGTTTGTTTTTCAGAGTCCATAGTCTCTCATGGTTCGTCTCCCCCTCCAATTCCCCCCCTTCATTCTTCCCCTCCTGCTATCTTCTTCTTCTTTTTTCTTAACATATAATGTATTATTTGTTTCAGAGGTACAGATCTGTGATTCAACAGTCTTGCACACTTCACAGTGCTCACCATAGCACATACCCTCCCCAATGTCTATCACCCAGCCACCCCATCCCTCCCACCCCCCACCACTCCAGCAACCCTCAGTTTGTTTCCTGAGATTAAGAATTCCTCATATCAGTGTTAAAGTTCTATTATCCCAAAAAATCTTCAAGTAACAATTTCATTTCTGTGAGATTGTCATGAACTTTTGATGATTCTGTTAGGTTCCCACAGTTAGATTTGGGAGGAGTAAGGTGCATAGCTTGTGACACTGAAATACTATGATTGTGGCCTGTATCATTTGCAGACCTAGGGACTACTTTGTACTTTCCTTTTCTCTCTGTAATGGTTCTCACTGCCCACAGTTACCTTTGAAAGTCATTGATGCCTAGCTTAACTTCCTTTTTGGAGTATAGACAGGTTTAATCACAACCTCTTCTTGCCATATACTCAAATTCTTCATTTAAG